GTTTTTCCATTCTCTCATCCAAAGTTTGGACCTTTGCATACACCCAATCCTCAAATGCAAACTAATCTCTCTCCACCTCACACAATGCTGCTCCATTTCTCTCCCACGAAACCCTTTTTCTCTCCACTCAATCTCCGCCGCAATTCACCTACATTCTCCGTTTCTCCGCCGAGATCCCTCTGCATTAAAGCAATCGACGCCGCTCAGTTCTTCGACTACGAAACCAAACTCAAATCCGAGTACCATAGATCCTCTGCTCTCAAAATCGCCGTTTTGGGTTTCGGCAATTTCGGTCAATTCCTCTCCAAAACCCTAATTCGTCACGGCCACGACCTAATCACACATTCCCGCTCCGATTACTCCGACGCCGCGAACTCAATCGGAGCTCGATTCTTCGATAACCCTCACGATCTCTGTGAACAGCATCCCGACGTTGTACTCCTCTGTACATCAATCCTTTCAACAGAATCAGTTCTCAGATCTTTCCCTTTCCAACGTCTCCGACGTAGCACACTCTTCGTCGATGTACTCTCCGTTAAAGAATTCCCGAGAACCCTTTTCCTTAAATACCTTCCAAAGGAATTCGACATTCTCTGCACTCATCCTATGTTCGGACCAGAGAGTGGTAAGCATTCGTGGTCTGGTTTGCCTTTTGTTTACGATAAGGTGAGAATCGGAGACGAAGCTTCTAGAAACGAGAGGTGTGAGAAGTTTCTTAGAGTTTTCGAGAACGAAGGTTGTAGAATGGTGGAGATGAGTTGTGAGGAGCATGATAAGTATGCTGCTGGGTCTCAGTTCGTGACGCATACAATGGGAAGGGTTTTGGAGAAGTTTGGTGTTGAGTCTTCTCCGATTAATACTAAAGGTTATGAGACGTTGCTTGATTTGGTGGAGAATACGTCGAGTGATAGCTTTGAGCTTTACTATGGTTTGTTTATGTATAACCAGAATGCTCTTGAACAGTTGGAGAGATTGGATATGGCTTTTGAGTCCATTAAAAAAGAGTTGTTTGGGAGATTGCATCAGGTTTACAGGAAGCAAATGTTTGGTGGGGAGGTTCAATCGGTGAAGAAAACAGAGGTGAAAACAGAGCAGAAAATGCTTAACAATGGAGGTGTTCCGATGAAAGAGATATCATCACCATCTTCTTAATAAGATCACAAGTTGTAGGGTTTGGTTGATTATGTTTTAGATTCTAAATAAAAAAGTTATATCGTTTTTTGTGAGTAATCCTTATTAGTGTCAAAATAAAAACAAAAGGGGTTTTGGTGTGTTCATATATAATGTGAAAAAACTAAATGCTTTGTCAACGTTTGGTCTCTTTTTGGGTAATTTTCAGAAGAATGTATCAATGGACCCATGCATTTTCATGTTCAGTGATAAGAGAGTGAAAGTAACGTGTCTGATAAAATCTGACAACCGAATTCCGGATAGACATTCAAATGTTTGTAGTTAGTGTCAAACTTGGAATGCTTTAAATATATTCAATCTTTACCTTCATGTTGAGAGAAATTCTATTGACCAACTGATAGACATTCGAATGTTTTTGTTTTAATATTTGTTCCTATAATCAGATCAAGCAAGCTTTGAAACCCATCTCTAACTCCTCCCGGTTCAAACTCTTGCCGATGAAAACAATCTTGTTGATTCTTTTTTCATCTTTTCTCCATAACCGATCTGGTGATCCTTCAAATATCTCATGAACTCCCTGTCCCAACCATAAAACACACACACAGACGTGAGACGTCAAAGGGCATTATGCTTGAAGATTCACTCGAAATAATGACAAAAGATGGTCACCTGAAACACAAATCTCTCCTCCATGTCTTGGACGGAGAGGATGCCTTTCATTCTGTAGATATCCTCACTACGTTGGTACAATAGTGCCCCGAGCCACATGTTAGCCTGATACATCGTCAAAACTGAGGTTAGATGATGCAAGTAATCAATTGCACATCTAAAATTCTACAAAGACTCCCGGTCATACAGTTTAAAGCATCATACGTTATACAACTTAAACCATCTTAGGTTATACCTTTTCGAGGTCTAAGTCTCCTTCACAAACTATACTGACTGAAGAAACACCAGGGTCATGTGTGTGATCATGAGAATGGTGATGCTCTGTCGTTTCAAAAGCAAACTAATCAGTGCATGTAGGCATTCAGTATTTAAAGCCTTTCTCTTTGGTAACCATATAACATACCG